CCCTCCTTCTCGACCCCTCCTGTCCGTTTGGAGAGATAAGATTCAGCCGCGCCAGGCCGTCTACCGAGGGAAGGTCGCTTCGGAATGCAAGATAACGCTGACGGAGCTTGTGGAATTCACTCTTGGCGCCTGGCGCTTAGAGATTTCATTTTCCTCGCGCCATTTTCTTATTCGTCCTGCACTTCGAGATAAGAGACGCCCATCCAAGTTGATCCAGTTCAGCAGAGGCGATGCGTGACTGATCGATTATCGATACCTCCCCATTTGAAGCTGTGCTGAAGAATCGATTATTAAGGTGTTCGTCGTGAACATCCTGCCTATCGATCCTTTTTCATCGGTTTAAATGGCAGATCAATCGATAATAAATCGTAAAGTATATACGCCAAGCTACTCTGCCGTGCTAACGAGGAACGCCGTATGAGCTTTCGAGAGTCGCCAAATTTCCCAAGATAAAACATGTATTTTTGACAACATTCATGGACATTCTTCCTTGAAATTTTCAGATATTTTAAATTATGTTGCGTACAAAATTGTCTGAAAATTTTGGAAAATAATATTCAAAATTTTCCCAGTAATTTCGGTTTTTATCAGAGGGGATTTGGCGACGTCTGAAGGTTCGTACGGTCGTACGGCGTCCTTCCTTAGCACGGCAGTACTGCTTTCTGGCTAATTTACTCATGATACTTGCGATTTTCCGGACGGTTTTCAACAAGTGGGACATGCATCCTGCGTAAGTTTTAATGGGAAATCCTAGTCTGGGGTCAGATTTTGATTTTGAACATCCGATCAATGGGAAAGTATTTGTTATAGATAATTTTACTCGAAGAGGAACTTCTATGCATAAATGAAGTAATATAAAAGGTCACAGTATGAATCAAAATGCTATTAAACATTTATAGATACAGGCGCGAGATATGATGATTTCGAAGAGGGTCAGATTCGGCCCATTCCTCTTACTGCTTCATGCCAATTAGCGATGAGATATGACCTATCATCATTAAAACTCATTTAAAAACCAAAAATAAAATATAATTCCGTAAACTATTCCTTAAAGGACCAATAACTGAGAGAGCCCCGCTCGTTTTGACATGGATGCAACGTGATAAAAAATACTTCTTATCCTTGATTTTGATACGAGGATATTTCCTGTATATTAGCCCTCTAACGTTTCTGATTTCGCATTTAATGAGAAATTGGCGTATTATAAATCTCGTTTTTTAGCTCAAGACTTTAGAGGATTTTCAAATTCCAAAAATGTTAGGTACGCTTGTAGGATGGTTGGCTTATTAAGTATAGTGTTCATTGCGCTTCAACATCGGAAAACTGACAATGTCACGATAAAAATTAGAAATAATTTTCTTTATCGACGCGATAGGCAACGCTGAAATGAGGTTACGATGTAAGTTGGCCTCGAATGGGACGAACACCATACGAATTTCATTTTAACGCCTAGATGAAACTATCCAGGCTCCCTGGCTCCATGATGGGTGTACGTGTTGCATACGCACGGAAAAGAAGGCGTTTTGACTCGCCAGGTGCTTTTCTCGCGTTCTAATTCATAATCTGTGAATACAATTTTCAAAAACCTTCGTTTCAAAAAGTTTTCTGCACTTCTAATCCTTTTTCCTTGTTTTCGATCTAGGTCTTCTAAAACGCGCGCAAATGACGCCATTGCTCTTGACTTTTTTCTTCTTCTTTTTTTTTTCAATTTTCAAATAGCCTAATGGCTAATCCCACGCTTCTTACCCCAGCCCCAGGTGACCGTTGCTCGAGACTAAACTCATGTCTCCTGGCCGCGAATCGAACCCGGGATTTCTTGGTCACAGGGTCAGCTCTACAACCACTACACCACACTGCCGTGCTAAGGAGAAACGCCGCATGAGCATTCGAGAGTTGCCAACTTTCCTCTCAGAAAAGAGTTATTTTTGAAGAAAGTTATGAATATTTTTCCTCGAAATTCTCAGGAACTCTAGGTGGAATTACGAACAAAATTATCAGAAAAATTAGAGGAAAAATATACATAAATTTTCCAGAAAATTCGTGATTCACCGAAGGAAATTTGGCAACGCCTGAAGGTTCATACGACGCTTTTCCTAAGGACGGCAGCACATGAGACTGATCATAAGGATCCACCCCTTCAAATACCGAGGAACAGACGAACGCAGAGGAAGGCGGAATACTCATCAGTCGTGCAAACGGACTAAAGGGCGGGGAGACAGAAGGGTAGGGGTC